GCGCCACGAGGACCAGCGGCCTTCGATTCGGCCACGGCTAACGAGGCCCACACCGGGCCGGCGTGGAGGCAGCCGACCCAGTCGACCGGGGGAAGCGCCGGAGACAAACCTTACCCTAAGGCGCGCGGGCTGCAACGCCGCCGCAGGTGTTCCGGTCCTCCCTCCCCATTTTGCACGTGGGGAAGCCGAGGCCCAGAAAGAGTAAGAGGCTCGGCTAGGACTTCACGGCGCCCTGAACGCGGCACCGGAAAGGCCTCTAGTAGGCAACAGCTTAAAAACGCGACGTGGTAAAGGTAGTAATTGCGGAGGGGCCGCAGGCCCGACGGGCTGCTGGGAGAAGGGATGCTTTCCCGCAGCCCCGGCCGCACCTAAAACACGCACCGACTTTGATTTCGTTGGGGTCGAACTTCGGCGGCATGGCGGAGGCAGCTGGTGTCGGATGAACCCGGATTCGGGACGACCGAAGAAAGTTGCACCTGAGCCTCCTCCGAGCCGAAAGCCGAAAGACCGGAAGGCCTTTCAGCTGCGCCGGATATAGGCCGGAAAGCGCAGCTCTCGCGAGAACTTCCCTCTCCGCCTGTCGCGAGAACCGCCCTCTCCGCCCAGTCTCCCAGCGACGCTCCTGCCGCCATGTTCCTTGTGGGCAGGCGCCAGAAGCTGACAAGTGGAGAACCTGGCACCGGGTAAGCTGTGACTGGTTGCTCGGAAGGGGGTTCAGGACAGTTCGCCCAGCGAGGCAGACGAGAGAGGGCTGCTCCCAAGATCCCGATCCTCCTGTCCCCCATTCTCCCTTGCGATGAGGATCACCCCCTGGTCCCTGTCTCCCAATCCCGAGCTCCGCCCCTCCGGAGCGGTCCGCACACATTCCGGGACGCCAGGTCCACAGCGACCCCGGGCCCCCTTTTAACTCCCTCGCGATGTGTGCATTTTAGTTATCAAAACAATTCCGTTCGCGTCCACATCCGTTCGGACTCTTAATTCCTTGATGCTGCGGTTCTCGGAGTCTGAGACTTCGTCATCCTGGTCTGCATGACTTTCTGAGATGCTGAGTTTCGGTCCCCAGCTCCGGCGTTTGGGGGAGACCAGTCTCCCGGTCCACCGGGGCCCCTGCCAGGTGGTCTGCGGCCCAGCGTCCATGACCAAGCCCCACGAGTGATCGGCCTGCCCTCAGGTTCGCCCGCGGAACGAACGTCGGGACCTGTCCACCCACGAAGCCAGGTCGGGCACTCCCCGCTGCAGCCGGGGAAGATGGGTGTGGTTCCCCGATCTGGGCGGGACGTCGGGGGAGGGGATGGACGAGGGGTGGACGTCGGGCAGCAGGTTGGGAAGAGCGGATCTGGGAGGGAGGGTTATTGGGGAGGAGGTGGTGAAAGGTTTGTCATTGGGGAGCATAAAGGGTAAGAGCTGGTCTTCAGGGAAGGATGGGGGAGGGCTGTTTTTGGACTAGTCCTCATCCCTGCAGGAAGATGGGGTGACAAGAGGGGCCTGAGCCAGCTCTGCAGTCTTGGCCGGCTCCCCAGACAGCCCACACCCCTGTGGGCGGAGACCAGTGATCTCTTC